AACACTCCTGGTTATAAATTTGTATTTGTTTGACTGATTGTCTAACTTTGTGTTCCTTTTTCAGTGATATATTATTTTTTTGATTGTTAACTTTTCAAACTGACATGTTTAAAGAATGAATTTGTTACTTTTGACATACATTAAATTATATGTTTATTAAAGTAACAAAATGAGTGAGTGTTTTTCCAGCATGGCCAGAGGGGTGCTAAGCCTAGAAGACTCACAACACACAGAGCTCTTGATTTTTTTAAAACTTCTATATTACAGTTCGTTAATACCAAAGAACCATCTCCAGTACTTTCTCCTGTCTCAAAATTTCATGTCAGAAAATAATGTAGACATCAACAGGCATAACACGCACATACGATTTACACACGGTTTACACATGCCTCAATTCGTGGGCATGTCCATGTCCCATTAACAATAGCTTGATAAACAAAATAAAATTATTTCTCTAGTGTCTAAATGGATGCTCAGTCATCCAGGTGGTCATGACAATTTTCATATTAATGAAGAAACTGACCTCATAGCCCATTTTTTGCCAGTTGTACTAGTTTCAGTCAGTATGTATGGTTTAAAAGGTTAGGGAAACCTGCAGTCAGCTGAGACTGAGCGGCTCATTTATCATCACTTCGATGAGTGACAAAATGTTTCTCCTACTTAAAACGCTACGTCCAGGTGAACAGAATAAACTTTTTTGGGATTTTTATTCCATTATTTCAGACTGCAGTGATCCCAATAATATGTGGGGTACATCAACAACATTTATTTTGAGTCAAATACTAAAGGCTTCTCTAGGAGCAGCGGCTGTCTCGCTATCTGTGCAGTACAGCAAGTTTTTCTTTTGAATTCAGCTGTTGCTAGAAAGCAGAATGATGTCAGCTGTGAATTATTATAAGAAAATGAAAAAGCTAAAAATTAGAAAAAAACCCTCTGGATTTGTAATTTACCTGTTTATATAAGCCTGTTAATTAGTGGGCTTTTAACCTGGATCATTGACCATCTGATAATACAAATAAGATGGTCAGT